AGTTGACTCCAAAAAGCAGAAATTTTGGTTCAGAGAGGAAAGTTTAAAAAAAACTTAAGTTGTCAGTATCTATTTTCAGTTTTTTAACATCCCATGGAGATGAATGGAGCAGTTTGGAGCTCTTGGTTACCTGCAGCACTGCAATAACTAGAATCTTCTTCTTTAAAAGACTGCTTAAAATCCTGCTCTCCCTTCATCTATCATGAAGTCACACATCAGAGACAAAACAACTGGGCTCGACTCCTTCTCAGAGCAATACAGCACTACACTTCAAACCATAAACTGTCCCTGAGCAACATGGGATATTCCCTGAGCTTTGCTTACAAGTCTCTGCAGGACACTTCCTCAAAACAACCAATTCTCCCACCCTACTCCAACTAGGGTGGTCATCATAGAGGACAGTCCAGTTGTCCTCTGTCTTCTAGTGATACGAAACTGACACCTTTATGTCTCTTTACAAAGAGAAAAATAGAGGACAGAGTAGCAGAAAACCGAAATGCCCTCTATGATGGCCACGCTAACTCCATCACAAGCTTTTATGTGCATCCTTTCACCTTCAGCCTTTTCTTCCAGGTCTTCCTGACCTGAGCTGCTATCTCTTCCTCTTCCTGCAGCTGATCCTTGTAAGTGCACTTTCTCTCTTGCTGGGTTCTGCCTGCTGTCAGCCCCACATCATGAATACTTCAGTCACCCCCTAAGAACCATAGAACTGATGAGTGTGATGGGAAAGGAAAGAACTGAGACCCCATTAAGGAACAATGGAAGCTAACTCTTTCTGCATAAAATGCAACAGTCACAGCAGCAAAAGTTGACACAGACTGATGCACAAGAATGGAAAAATACTTGGGTCTGCAAAGTAGCATCTTCCTTTACCTCAGATGCAGGAATGAGGCTCAGTGTTCACCAGAGTCCAAGGTTTCATTCCTAGGCCTTATTTGTCCCCTGAGACAGCAGGAGCTAAGAATGCTGTTGAGACTAAACTCATCCCTATTTAGGTTTCAAGTTCCATGGAATTGACAAGAACAAGAAATCCTGCAGAGGCAGAGATTAGCAGTCAGGGTATTTGCATTCTGAGATACTCCCTGCTATACTCACGATCTAGTCCTAGTACCTCACAACTAGGGTGCCCAGATTGTGGAATAAGCTCCCTCCAGAGGTGATGCAAATTGCCTACCCTGGAAATCTTCAAGAGGAGACTGGACCATTACCTTGCTGGGGTCACCTGACCCCAGTTGTCTTCCTTGCTTGGTGAAGGGGGCTGGACCCGATGATCTTCCGAGGTCACTTCCAGTCTTACAATCTATGAATCTCACTTCCTGAGGCCAGAACAGGCTTGGAACGCTGTGGAAACCCAGCCTGATGCCTTAGGGTTTAGCAGACTGGCTTCTTTTCCCACTCTGACTACATAGGCTGGCAAAGGCTGTGGCAACTCCCTCAGATTATGAAGCAGTCATACCTTCTTTCTTCTTGGAGCCATCATAAGCCCTGGTGGTCTTGCAGGAGCCTGAGAATGTGTTGCCACATCTGGGCTCCTTCCCCTGTCCCCATCTAAAGAAAAAGGTCTAAGAAACAATGAAAATAATGTAGAATCGTAAGTAGAATCATAATGGCAAAGAGGAAACCGCTCGTATGGAACTGCACGGCAATTCACTAGAAGAAAGTTGGGAAGGGGAAAGCGTGCTTCCTTGTGAGCTCATAATCATGCTTAAAGCTTGGTATACTTTGCTCTAGATAACTTATATTATTTGGGGGGTGTTAATAATAGAGTTAAAAAGAACCCCCTTCCACTTCAAAATATCAAGCTGATGAAAACATGTATTTTAACAAAATGAAAAAGGTATAGTCAGAAGGCTTGCACTGGTTTTCATAATGACACACAAACTGAAAACAGAGATGATGACAAAACTGTTAACTGTTAGCAGTTATTGTAAGAGTGGGTTGCTTTAAGAGAAATTCTAAACTCCTGTATTTGGGTAGACAGAGAAGAACCCAACTGGGGGCTAGATTGTATGCAATGAGCAGATTTCAGTTCTGTTACACGGACTAGTAGTTTTTTGGGTGAAGATGTACACCCTTCAGAAAGACCTGCATTCCCTAACCCAAACCATATCACCGGAGCCCTTCTGAGTGCCAACCTGGGAGAGGGGAAAGAAAGGAAGAAAGCACTCCCTTTTCCTAAGGCCTCTGCAGCACTCCCAGCCCCTGCCTGCTGAGGAAATTCCAGGTTGAGCCATGCTGATATATGGTTGCTGGTACAGGTAAGAGATGGTTGTTTATTTTACCATTATGCAATAGCTGTATTACAATTCTCTAAGAGAAAACAGCTTGTATTCTTCAGTCAGAGACAAACTTATTGGTAGAAATAGAACATTTAAAAAACCAAGCTGTTCTAGCCAACATTTTATTGTGTTTTTTTTAACGTTCAGCTATGAATAAGAAACCGAGCAGTCAATACTCTGATTAGCTGAGATAACCATCATGCCACACTAGGGTTACATTTTAAACTCTTTGGGGGAGAGAACTTGCCTTTTCATGCTGTGTGAAATTTCTCTCTCTAACTATATTTATAAATTAAAATACATGGACACACTTCCAAGCTGTATAAACTACTGGCTGATATTAAAACATTAAATATCTGTTCAGCCTTTAGCAGGTTCTAAACCAGTGGTCTCCAACCTTTTTAAGTAGGAGATCACCTTTGGCATTTAAAAGCAACCCAAGATCTATCATGCACTGCCGCCACCCCTCCCTGCCCAGCAGGTAAGTCTGGGGAGGGAAGGGGGGGGGGGGGGGGGGGGCAGATGGGGCAGAGGAAGAAAAAAATATTTGGGGGTGTGCTTCCCCAGCAGGTAAGTCCCACCCAGCCGGGGCCCCACTCAATTTGCCCCTGCTCCTGCCTCTGCCGCACTGTCCCTCACTGCACAGGCCTCGCTCTAGCCCCTGCTCCTTCCCTCCCCCATGAACTTGTCACAACCCAAAGTTGTGGGTTTGTGTGTGCTTCGGCACCGCTAAATTATGTCCCCGCCAAATTGCAGCTCCTTTGCACGGTAGAGTTTTCTGCTGCAATAGAGAACCCGTGTGCAAAAGAGTATTTCCCGCCAGTTTATAGCCTTCTTTGCATGGTGCATTTCTTTTGCATCATAGTGATGCACAGTGCAAAGGAGTTCCCGCCATTTGTATTTAGATTCGCGCCTCATTATTGGCCGATCTTAATATAGGCACACGTGGCCGCTACCGATTGGCTTGCTAGCCGTATAAAGAGCTTGGGTGGCTTCCGCCCAAGTTGGAGGGAGAGAGAAAGCAATTGGAGTTTGGGAGAAAGAGCGTGAAGATCTCTAAACGCTGCTAATCCCTTCGAACCCAGCTTTTTCTTTTCTCCTTAAGAGGGCAATAGAGGGACGAATTACCAAACCCACAGAGTCTTAACAACTCCGGGGGACCTATTTACGGAACCTGCGGAGCTTCAACCGCTCCGGGGGCCAAACGGCCTCTAGCCTCTCCCCGTCACCGAGCGCGATCCTAGACGTATCCCTTTCCTTTGAAACTACCGAACCCGCGGAGCTTCAACCACTCTGGGGCCAATTACCGAGCCAAACCCGCAGAGCTTCAACAACTCCGGGGTCAATTATCAGAGTCCTCTAGCGAGAACTTAAGCACAGCCGTGCCTGGAAAACTGTCCAGCCTACACCATGACCATCTATGGTGTAAGTAAACAATCTTTTAATCAACCATTATGCGTCCGTAACTAATTCTAACTCGCCACCGGTCTTCTTCGACCCCGCGTGCCCGGGCTGCTGGCCACAGCCTGCGTGCACAAAGACGGGCTCGCATACTGCTCCTAGCCCGCACATGGCCGCGTGGACGGGATCGGGAGGCGGCCCACACAGGACTAAGCTGCTGGGCTGGGGCGTGTGTGCGCACGCACGCAGGCACTCAGCCCCCCACCCCAGCTTCAGATCAACTCCAAGAGGCTCCGAGATCTACTGGTGGATCTTGATCCGCTGGTTGGTGACGACTGTTCTAAACCCTTCCCTCCTCAAACACACACAAGTAAGTAGGAAGTTTTTGTTACAGTCCACAAAGCGAAGAGATTTGTTCTCCAACTACTCGGAAGAAGTATTGGGCACAGAAATTAAGTCACACCATCATGAAAACATGTGAAACCCCAACGGCACATACGGCAAGTCCTAGGTAGAATTCACGTAATAC